CAAAAATTAAATCTAAACTTCCCATATAATGCAGCAATTCAACTCCTAGGTGTATATTAGGGAGAGCCAAAAAAACACACATAAGTTTTTACACAAATGTTCCCGGTAGAATTATTCCCCAAAGCCAAAAAAAAGTGGAAACAACTCACATGTCCTTCAGCTGATGCAGAAAGTGGTACCATCACAATGGAATATTATTCATCCATAAACAGGAGTAAGGTTCTGGTACCATGCTACAATATGGATGGGCCCCAAAAACATTACGCTAAGTGAAAGATAGAAAAAGCCACATGTTATGATTTCCTTTATATGAGATGTCCAAAAGAGGACAATCTAGAAAGACAGAAACAGATTAGTACTGGCCACAGACCAGGGTGAGGGGAAATGGGAGTGACTGCTTTTAATGGATATAGGACTTGGGGGAAAGGTGGAGAATGTTCTGGAATTAGATTGTTGTGATGGTTGCGCAACTTTTTCAATATACATTTTATTTATTTATTTATTTTTGGTACCGGGGATCAAACTCGGGACCTTGCTTTTGCAAGACAAGCAGCAGAATCACTAAGCTAAATCCCTGGCCCATCAATATACATTCAAAAGACACCAATTTGGTGCACGCCTGTAATCCCAGCACTCAGGAGGCTGAGGCAGGAGAATCATTCCGAGTTCGAGGTGAGCCTGGGCTACATAGTGAGTTCAAGTCCAGCCTGGACTACATAATGAGACCTTGTCTCAACAAACAAAACAACCCCCCCAAGAAACAAAAAAAAACCCACACCAAATTATACACTTTAAGAGAGTAAAATAAAACAAAAAAAGAGATTAATTTTGCTTTGTGAATTATTATTTTTTAATAGCAAAACATTTGTTGGTACATTTCAGGCTTACATAATGATCACACTCATCATAGGGAATTCGCACCTGCACATGCTACATCCCGCCCCTTTTTTCCCATTCCCCCTCCCCTCAAGCCCCCTCCCCTCCCGAGGTACAAAAGCTTTGTTTCCATTTTTTCCTTCTATTTTCACTTTTTCTTGTCCCTTTCTTCCTTTCTCCCTCCCTGCTCCTTTGTTCCCCATCTCATTTGAACATTTTCTTCCCATTTCCCAATATCTATTATACATTTTAGTCATTATTTCCACTTTCAGTTTCTCATACCAGAGAAACAATTTGGTATTTAAACATGTGTGTCTGATTTATTTCACTTAAGAGTATGGTCTCAAGGTCTATCCATTTAGCTAGAAGTGTCTGAGGCTCATCTTTCATTTTGTTTTCAGATTTCTTTTTTAGTACCAGCGATCAAACTCGGGTCCTTGCGCATGCACAGCAGGTGGTGGAAACCACTGAGCTAAATCCCAGGCCCAATTTTTATTTTGTTTTCAGATTTTTTTAAAAATTTATTTATTTTTTAAATCTTTCTTTTTTAACAATCACATAAGGAAGTATTTATTTGGGCTTTAACATGAAATCATACAAATAAAATTTGTATAAACACAAATCGACACTGAGTCATAACACATAGCAAAGAACAAAGTAAAAACAAAACTAATTGGCAGCTATGTACAGTTGGACACAGTTGTGTCTTGTGCACTAGAAAATCTTCTACAAAATAATCATTAGAGCAAGAGAAGACCAGTCTTCAACATTGTCCTGCAAGATTTCTTTAGCATCTCCTGTTTTCTCCAATGTCATCCTCTTTAGTATGGCTGGTGATTATTTTGGTGATTGCCACCGCCTCGAGATGCCTTGCCGTAAGTGCTCTGTTGACCACTGTAGTCTGCATATCCCTGTCCATATCCATAGTACCCATAGTTATACCCAGCATAATCATATCCGCCATAGCCACTATAGCTTTGATCATCACCATGGGCACTATCGTAATTTCCATATCCTTGATCATGATAGCTACTAAATCCTTGGTTTCAGTTTTGGCCCTGACCTCGGCCTTGACCCCTAGTACCCTCTCGCCCACCAGCTGCAGCACCTCTTCCTCCTTTTTGTTGTTGCTGTTGCTGCCGATATAACTCTTCGGGTTGTGCAACTTTGATTTCACACTTTCCAGAACCCGTTTGATGGTATCTACTTTCTAACAATTTCTTGACTGGCTCGTCATGTGTGTATATGATAAAACAAAATCCTCTCCTTTCATTTGTTTCTGTATCCATGGGAAGTTCAATATTTTCAATCTCTCCAAAGGCTCCGAAATATTCTTTAATTTGTTCTTCAGAAGTCTCTGGGCTCAGTGCACCCACAAAAACCTTTTTAGGGGATTCTTTCCCTTTTAAAGCTTTGGCACTCTTGGGATCTATCAATTTCCCATCTAATTTATGTTCTTTTAGCTCCAAAACCTTATCAACGCTAGCAGCATCTTTGAAAAGCACAAATCCAAACCCTCTTGATCTTCCAGTGACTGGGTCTGTTTTAATTGTGCAGTCTACAATTTCCCCAAATAGAGACAAATATTCTGTCAGCTCTTTCTTGGTTGTATCCCAGCCCAAGCCTCTGATAAACATTTTACTCAACGGCTGGTTGCACAATTTTATGGGCCCCCCAGAGGTGCCCAAAACATGACTTACCCCAAGTCTCGCTCAGCTCACAGCGCAGTGCTGAGCAGCCCGGACACAATAAAGAGGTGGCAGCAGCTGGGGCAAGAGGAGTGGCCACCCCCCACCCACCCCGTGCCTCTGAAGCTCATCTTTCTTTATGGCAGAGTAGTACTCAGTTGTATAAAAAAACCCACATCTTCTTTGTCCATTCATCAGTTAATGGGCATTTGGGCTGTTTCCAAGCTTTAGCTATTACAGACTGTGCTGCTATAGACATGGGTGTGTGCATAACACTGTGGAATGATGCTTTTAATTCTTTTGGGAAGATACCAAGAAGAGGAATAGCTGGGTCAAATGGGACCTCTAGTTTTAGTTCTTTGAGGTATCTCCATACTGATTTCCACAGTAGTTGTACCAGTCTACACTCCCACCAGAAGTGGAGCAGGGTTCCTCTTTCCCCACAGCCCTGCCAGCATTTGCTATTGGTTGATTTCTTGATAGCAGCCATTCTTTCTGGAGTGAGACTGAATCTCAGAGTTGTTTTAATTTGCATTTCACGAATGACCAGTGATGCTGAACATTATTTCATATATTGATTTGCCATCTCTACTTCATTTGAGAAGTGTCTGTTCATTTCAGATGCTTATTTTTAGATCAGGTCTTTAAATTTGGGAGGTCTGATTTTTTTGAGTTCTTTATATATTCTAGATAGTAGTACTTTGCCTGATGAATAGCTGGTAAAATATTTTTTTCCCACTCTGTGGGTTATCTCTTCGTTCTGTTGGTGGTTTCTCTGGCCACGCAAAGACTTTTTAATAAGACAAGGTCCCAGTTATTGATTCTTTGTAGTATTTCCTGTGTGATCGGGGTTTTGCTCATGAAGTCTTTCCCTACTCCTATGCCCTCAAGCATTCTACCTATTCTCTGTTCTGCAAATTATTTTTATTGAGGTGAAATTCATTTGATGTAAAGCCAATTTTAAGGGTATAATTCAGCAGCATTTAGGACATTCACAAAAAATGTGAGGAAAGCTATATTCATGTGTTGTATACGTGGAAAGGAGTTAAATTCCATTTAACTTTTCCCAGGACCTGCAAAAATATTATTGCCAGGAGGTTTATTTTGCTTTCACAGGAAAGAAATTGTGGCATCATAGTATAGGTCTATGTGGAATGATTTTCTGCTGTTATGAATTAAATGACCTTTTATTTTTTATTTTTTAAAAATTCTTTTATTGGTACATTTTAGGTATACAATATGTTTACATTTATCATTGGGTGCTTGTACCTGTACATGATGTATCTTGGTTCTTATTTTTTTCCCCATTACCTGTGTGTCCTTCACCCCCTCCACCCTTCCCTATTTACATAGATTTTGTTTCCATTTTTTTCTTTTCTCATAATTTTTCCTTTCCCTTCTTTCCTTTCCCCTTTCCCTCCCACCACCCCTACACCTTTGGACCTTTTCCTATTTCAAATTATCAATTATTCGTTTTAATCATTTTAATCCTTATTTACACTTTCAGTTTCTCACACTAGAGAAACTATTTGGTATTTACACGTGTGTCCTATTTATTTCACTTAAGAATATGGCCTCAATATGTATCCATTTAGCTATAAATATCTCTAGTATCTCGTTCTTTATGGCTGAGTAGTACTCCATTTTATAAAAAAAACACATCTTCTTTCTCCAGTTTCCAGTTGATGGGCACTTGGGCGGTTTCCAAGCTTTAGCTATTACAAACTGTGCCGCTATAAACATGGGTAAGCATATATCGCTGTGGTATGATTCTTTTAATTGTTTTGGGAAGATACCCAGCAGGGGGATAGCTGGGTCAAATGGGACCTCTAGTCCTAGTTCTTTGAGGTATCTCCATACTGATTTCTAAATGACCTTTTAGATAGCAGAAGTATCAGGGAGAGGCCACTGTGCTGGTCAGCTTCTGGTCACTATAATGAAATACCTGAGGCAATTCACTTACAAAGCAAGTTTATTTTGGCTTACAATCTTGGAGCTTTTGGTGCGTTGGGGCTGTGAGGAGAGAAAGTGCTCCCAACACGAGCCAGGGGTCAGAAGGAGCAAGAGCAAGGTTTCAGGGCCCCAGGACCTCCTCCAGGGCATCAGTGACCTGGGGCCCTGCTCTATGCCTGCATCTCACGTTCCCCCACATCCAACAGAGCCGTTAACCCTTGGGGACTTCGCCATCCACATTGTAGCCATTTCCATCACCAGAAAGAGTACAGCGAGGCCAGTGAGGCCAGTTTATTCTACGAAACACCAGGTGCGCTTTCTCTTTGCCGTTTTTTTTGTTGTTGTTTTGTTTTGTTTTGAGACAGGGTCCGACCCTCTGCTCCAGTCGAGAGGTGCACAGTGAAGAAAGAGGCTGTGCATCCTTCCATCCCTCCATCCAACCATTCGTGCCGGAAGGGATAGCGCCGCGCTGTACGGAAAGCACAGAGGGTCACTGTGAGCAACGGAAACGGGGCTGATTGCTAGGCTGGAGAACGTGGCAGCAGCAAACACGGAAATCCAGTGCGGCTGCCAGGCAGAAAGACTAAAAAAGCAACCACTTTCCTGAGCCTGTGCTGTGAGTTATTTAGAAAGCTCATCATCTAGGAGAGAAAAAGGATCCTGATAAATAAGCCTTTTACGTTTATGTCAAGCGTTCCTAATGTCTGAAAGGCGATTTGAGGGAATTTGCATACTCGGGGGGGGGGCGGTGGCCTCTGTCCCACACAATCCACACATGCATTTCTCAAATTCAATAGGGTCTTAATTTCCAATCACTGGTTTTTTAATGCAAAATTAGTTTACTACAGTGGGTGAATATCAGGTCGGAGAAACCACACAGTCTGTCATTTGCCACCTCGGGTGCACTGTTTCCCATCGACTGTTCCAGATATGACCTGCGTGGGAGGAGAGGGCCACAGCCCAGCCTGGTCCAGCATTGCCTTGCTCTGGTTGTTCGTTTGCTTTTTGTAACAAATTGTCTTTGCTTCCCCCGACCGTTCCCATTTCTGCATCTGTAATATGGGCTTGACAGATGTCACTGAGGAACAGAGTTGTTGGTAGTCTCTGAATTAATTCAAGAAAGTGCACCTAGAGCAAGAGAGGTATACAGTGGACACTTTGCAAATGTTATTTTTATTACTACTACTGCTAAAATGCACACAAATGACAATTCATGTAAGATATTCAGTGCTTTCCATAATCGAATGCTATTTTCAAAATAATCATATCTTTTTGTTTTTGTTTATTTGTTTTTTGAGACAGGGTCTTGCTGCTCTGTAGCCCAGGCTGTTTCTCCTGCCTCAGCCTCCCACATGCTGGGATTACAGGCTTGTACCGCTGCGCCCAGCCTGGTAGAGGTTTTTCTTGATGATTATCAAGTTCTTTGGAGAGAAAAATAAATCTGGGTATTTCAGTGTGTTCGATTTTCATGGTGAAAACTGAAACCGACCAGAAGAATGAGTTGGCTAAATGTAAATCCTTACAAGAGTAACTTCTGCTGGGAAAACTGGGTGTTACTGTGGATCCCAGAGACCCTGAAGGAAGGGTGGGAAAGAGGGTGCAGGTCCAGCCTCACTGACCCACTGTGACTCAGATCTACGAAACCCTTATCAAAGGAATGGAGGTTAGGTTGGGCACAATCCCAACAGATACCGGAAGTAGCCATTGGGTAGGGCTTTCATAGTTCCGTAGGGAGATTCAGATATTGAAAAGAAAATTTGGTGAAATAGAAAAGAATCAAAATAATGATGGGGATAAAATCTCATCTTGTTGGAGAAGGCCCAGTAGAGACAGCATGGCAATCCCGGGAGGGGGATTAGAGAAAATGGTCTAAGGGTAAGCCATCTGTGCCTCAGTTTCCCAGCTATCAGAAGAAAGTAAATGGAGGCAAATTTACCCTCCTGAGCTAAGAAAGGGAAAAAGGAGGAGGTGCTGAAGTTACCTTTAGAAAGGCTCTTGCTGAGTTTCACGTCCGCACATGGCTGCAGTCGTGTGTTTTCTCTTCTGCATTGACCTTGTAGTTGTTTGCTAACTGCTAACCAGGTTTTCATGGACTTCTTGTTGGAACTGAGTTACACGTGTCGATTAACTCCGGGAGCCTTGATGGTGCTTGAGTATTGGATCTTCTGTCCTGGGAACAGGGCAGCCTCTCTCTGTATTGGTCTTTATTGTGCTTCAGGAGAGATTTTTAGTTTTCTTCCTAAAATTTTCCTACATACCTCATTTTGTTCATACTGTTTAGTTGATTTGTTTTTGTTTTTTGAGACTGGGTCTTGGTATGTAGTCCAGGCTGGCTTTGAACTCGTGGCAATCCTCCTGCCTCATCCTCCCAAGTGCTGGAATCATAGGTGTGAGCCATCATGCCTGGCTGTACTATGAAAATATGGATTTCAAATAGAAAAATCTACATGAAAGAGGAGTCCTTCTAAACCCAGTGTGGTGGCGTGTGCCTATAATTCCAGCATTTTGGGAGGCTGAGGCAGGAAGACTTAGCAAGACCATGTCTCAAAAAACAAAGAAAGGGGATGTAGGTCAGTGTGAAGGCCTTGGGCTCAATCCTCAGTATTGACAAAAAAGGGTTGCTTCTACCTTTTATTGTTTTAACTGATGGGTTTCCAATTTGTTACTTATTAGAGTTTCTCTTTATTCTAAGTGCTTCTCATGAGGCCCCCACATATCTCCTTTTGGTCAAAAACCTGTGGCCCCATCTCAATGTAATGTGCATTAATTGGATTAGCGATTAGGAATGAAGTTTGCCTAATCATTAGGACCTGAATGAGCAACTTCCTCTCAGTCTAACATGGCGACCCTGTGACCCAGGAAGGAAGTCATGCAGGGAGCCTAACTTGAAGGCGCCTTCTGAGGTGACAGCGCAGCGCTTCTGGGCTCAGGGCCTTCTGAGGGATCAGAGGCAGAGGAGCAGTCGACCAACCTCCTGCAGGAGGGGCGGAGAGACACGGGCTGAGCTCCCTGGGATGCCCATTCACCTCACAGTTTATGACCCTCTCTGCCTGGGGCTTAGGGTCCAGCTCTGTGGCACAGCATGGGCTTAGCATGCAGAGGCCCTGGGTGCCATCCCAGTATCAGAAAGAACAAAGAAGGAGGGCTGGGGATTTAGGTCAGCAGTGCTGCTGCCTGCCTCGCAAATGTAAGGTCCTGAGTTCGATCCCCGGTACCAAAAAAAAAAAGAGTCTGGTGTGGTGGTGCACACCTGGAATCCCAGCACTAGGGAGGCTGAGGCAGGATGATCGCTGCCAGTCTGAGGCCGAGCTGGGCTACATAGACAGACCCTGTCCAAAACAAACAAACGAACAAACAAACAACAGCAACAACAAAGTTAACAGAGTGGTTCTCTCTCTGAGAGACACGTAGCCAGGCACAATGGTGCGCACCTATATTCTCAGTTACTTGGGAGGCAGAGTCAGAACGATTGCTTGGCCCCAGGAGCCCCAGACCAGCATGGGCAACATGGCAATGCACTTTTTGAAATTAAAAAATAAATAAATAAAAGATAAGTATTTATTTATTCCTTTTTTGTACTGGGGATTAAACTCAGGATCTTACACTTGCGAGGCAGGTGAGTGGCACTGAGCTAAACCCCTGGCCCCAAGTATTTGTTTACTTATTTTTTTCAGACAGGGTATCACTGTGTAATTCAGGCTTGTCCTTGAACTCACTCTGTAGCCTAGGCAGCCTTGAACTTGCTGTAATCCTCCCGAGTGCTAGAATTGCAGGTATGCACCACCACACCTGGCAAAAAAAAGGAGATAAATGTTTAAAAAGCTAAAGTAAAACTCTGCCACAGAGAATAAAGAACAAGCGAAACATATGGAGTGTTCAAAAAAAGAGATGAGGGTGCTTGAACTTAGCCTCACCGTGACACAGCTAAATTAATCACCACCAAGAAATGGCAGCCAGGTGCGTGGTGCACGCTTGTAATCCTAGCACTCAGGAGGCTGAGGCAGGAGGATGGATGTGAGTGCAAGGCCAGCCTGGGCTGCATAGGGAGATCCTGTCTCGAAAGAAAGAAAGAGAGAGAGAGAGAGAGAGAAAGAAAGAAAGAAAGAAAGAAAGAAAGAAAGAAAGAAAGAAAGAAAGAAAGAAAGAAAGAAAGAAAGGC